ACTTTGGGACAACGCTTTCCTTCACGAAAATTTTTCGAAAAGGTAAAAACGGTAGATGACAAGAATTTAGAAATGTCTTTGCCAAAAGGAATTTAAGAATGCCTTTGCTAAAAGGATAATGCAGATAGCAACCTAATTTTGCAAATTATCCTACAGGCTGATAGGTTCCCTGAAACGCTCCTTCGAAATCACGGTCTGGAAATTTTAAATTACCAGCAAATCCTTCCAAGGAAAGTGAAAAACTAATCGTTCAAGTCATTTTGAGCGAGGTTACGGATTCAAAATTTTATGCTTATTGTAACTTGCGCTTATTTCGAGAGCAGTGGTGCATGTGTTCAAATTTTTTTTATGTCAGAGCATGTCTTTTGATGAATTTTGAAATAGTTTAGTCTTGTTTTTTGAAGTTCCTAACGAAGCACTTAAGTTTTAGTCAGTTACCTATATACCTCTGGAATACATAAACATAAGATTGACGTAATTTCAAATTAAACTGCTGAAGAAACTGCTTTAGCTGTGATGAAACGTCATTTACTGACTGGTTATTCACCTGTCAAACCACATCAAACCGGCATCTTATTCAGAAAAAAAACGTGAAACCAGTCTGCAAGCCATTTTCTTCTAGCGTCATGCTTTTTCACCATTCAAATTAGCATCAAGGATGTTTCGAACTTGTGCAGGCTTGATACCTTCTGTTTTCGCGCGCTCATTTGACTTGGGCGGCCAGTGATACTGTGGGGTTTGAATTTCTGCATTCAAACTGCGGGGAATTCAATTGTCATTTTGCATTGCAACCGTTAAGCGCTGGGCATTTCAAAGTCCATCTTTACGAAACCGCCCTACATATTAAGGTTTTTTTTAAACTTCGTTTTGCAAAGACTTTACCTGGATGATTTAGCTATCCCCAAAAGCAAAACTGGCCTAAACAAATGGGGGGATTTCAGAAATCGAAACCATTACTTTTGAATTAACTTCATCGAATCATGCAACAATTAACGCCTCTTCATTACCACTATTAACCACCTAGTGAAGTTAATTAAAGCAGAGCACTAGTCTCAAATGATTTCTCAATCTAACTTTATTACATTTTATGCTCTGGAGCAAGTAAATACATTTTGCATGTGTGCGGTTTTAGTTGATGTTAATTGCTAGAATAAATTTTGTCTAGTTGCTTTGTGCCTCAAATAAAAACTGACACTAAAAACCAAACCGCTGCAATTTGCATTTGTCGTTTCATAAACTAGGCCTAAAGCTCTTGACTCTTTAGGAATACCCAGGGTTTTGGGGTACTCGCCATTACCTATTTGAGACCCCGAGGGATGAGTCAAGGGGGTACCCGCACGCACTTTACAAAATTCAAACTTTTCATACACCAAAGAAAACACCTGTAAGTTTGAAAATGAATGCGCTAGTTACGGGAATATGTATTTTGATTACAAAATGGTTGACTGAATTGCTTCCTATTTCTGACAACGTCAAGTGAATTGAAATATCGCAGATATGAAACCATTCCTTTCATTTCTTTATTGGCATTCGTAACAAACACAAGGCAATTTCTGTTATAGAGTCCATCTGGCTACAAAATTACTCTGTGTATTAAATTACATTACCAATAAATAAACAAAATTCTATTATATTTTAGCGGACAAAAACCCGTATATTTGATTATCTGATGCCAATTTGCCATTCATCGCATAACCCGAAGAGTGCAACAGCACGTCATGTTAAGATGCGAAGTTGTAATGCCCAACTAAGAAGTCGTCAATCATTGAATTTACTTGTGGAGAGAAAAGTGTGGCATTTGTGTGTGATAGCAAATGGGAATCGGCAACCGTTGGGGTTTACTGACGCACAGGTGCGGGACTTTGAGAGGGAATATTCGAACCCCTTGTCTAGCACATCAACGTCTCCCCTCGCACTGGGAGAGACAAAACACGGGTGACTCACCGCCTCCCCAAACTGGGACGAGACAGGACCTCGTGCGGAAAGCTTTTAGCCGACTTATCCAAAGGCCGATTGCGCGTTTTGATGCGCTCACGTGAGTATGGCGTGGGCGACCTTGAGTGTAGTCAAGACTAATAGTACACTCAAGGTGAATGGGCCAGTAGGAAGCTGGCGGCCGATTGGAATACACAAATGGTGTGCATAAACGCAAATGACTTTAAAAAGTGAAAATGTGGAAGACTTGAGGAAAAGTGGTTCCGGGATGGTGAATCCCCAACAGTAGCTAAGTGGAAGTTAGAAGACTTTTGATTATCAACAGAAATGAATTGCCATGTCGATAATTCAAAATTGTACTAACGCCTTAGTTCATTGTTTCATTTAAACTATTTGCATTTTTAAAACCACTACAGGGCGTCTCAGAAAGTGGGAAAAGGCAGGCAATTCTAGTTTTTCTTGAACATAATGTGAACCTGAATTTTTAAGCCATTATTCATTTACTATCAGCTGTAGTGAATCTACTATCCAACATAGCCAAATGCATCAAGGTCCGACGTTGGTTAGCACTAGTCCCAAAACAATTTTGACTTGCAATTACAACGAAATCACGCAGACCACTTTTACAGGCGCTTTGTCGGATTGGGCGCCAATATTTAAGGATGGTGGAGTGGTAAAAATCGCTGTTTTTTAACCGGCCAAATGTTTATCATTGGATGGATGCGAGGTGCCGCCAATGTAAATGCGCACCTCTGGCTCGAATACAACTGGCGTAACATTATTTGGCAATGATTTTTCGCGTAAGTTCGGCATCGCCTCCTTCATTTGTAAACTGGGGACGCTGACAACCAACGTATCCTGCTCGCTTCAGACACGTAACGGACTCAACGAAAGATCAATCTGCGTGTGCATAAATGAGTGGCTTCGTATTGGCAATGAACCCTGGACTAACGTGAGGGTTAAGGTACGTCCACACGGACGGAACTGGCAAATGCAGGTGCACCGAATAGCCTTGCTACCGGGTGGTCGGTAAGTGCTAAAAGCGTATTTCACTGAGCGGATTGGATGCAGCTCACCCACCCACGGGAACGCATTACACTGATGAGGTAGCATCAGCGCTGCCCAAATAAAATTTTACGATGGGTTTAGGGTTCAGTTAAACTACAGCGGCTTTCGTACCACAAAAACGAAAAATCGATAAGTCACTGAGGTAAATTTGCCCCCAACTTTCTGCGTTGTTATGGGCGAATGACCACCCTCAGATCCCCATTACTGAGTGATCCAAATATTGTCCATCTCACTGGGAACCACACCATCGAAAACACCGATCGATAATTAAACCAGTCGTTTTTATAAGACAGAGTAATTGATAACTGTTGGATTAATCCTTACTTGTTCAGGCAGTGGAGCTGGTACGTATCACTCGTCAATTCGCATTTGTGTACTTTGAAGGTGTACAGATGAATCGAAAGCACCGGAGGCGTAGGGACATTGAACCAAGAGGAGCGACGAATTCACACCCTAACAGGCCTGAATGAGGTCGCCTATCATTCAGTGAGCTCAAACAGAAGTTAAGAAACTACTAGTGAGACTGCAACGATGAAATGTCGAATTTCACAATGCCTTTCTAATTCAATCCTCTCAACCCACCTAATTTGTAAGCCGACTTATCTGGCTCTAAGAACGATTCAATTTACCGGAAGTGATGTTTGTGACTACAGCTACGTGAGTCTGGTGGTCTTGTGAAAAGAGCTTAGTAAGAACGGCTTCTAAAAAAATGAATTAACTAAAAGCATGGGCCTAAAAATGGGATATCCCACACGTACTCAGCCATGAAATTTGGCTGATTCTGCGCTAATGCATCTCTGATGGGGTTGGTAGTAAGCTTAAGTGCATTGGCTAATTTTGTCAATCGACAGCCACCGTTTTATGTGTGCGAGCTTTTGTCCCAACGCATGCGCCTACAGGAAGTTTTAGTTCGTCGGTCCGATAGTATCAGCGTTGGCAAGCATTCCCTCAAGTGGATATGACTGCAAACGGCGTTCTGCTTCGAGCCAAGACGGACAGATGCAATACGCAATTTTTTGCCATTACGTGGAACCGACTTCCGAAAACTACTCACAACGACTGCCGATGCCATCTTTGTGGTGTTTGAAACGATCCCTCAAGAAGGCCATGGGATAAAGTGGTGGCAAGTTAACTCCTCTGCACTGGTCCACGGAGTTTTTAGCCCGTCAAAGAGGTTCCGTAGAGGAACCACTATGGATACGCACAGCACAAAACTCATCCCAACCCCGATGCGATACTTCGTTCGCCTTTCTATCGTGCTGCAATTAATTAAATTACTCGTGGAGTATTATTGTTTTGTGTCTTTAAACCAACGCTCCCAGTGTCTTCCTCCAAGGCTGAAAATAATACCTTACAAGTGAGTGAACGACAATTTGGGTGTTGTGTGCACTAACAAGTTTGCATGTGAGCAGAAAACCTTATTCAACTCCACCTTAGCTTCAATACCAGCATTTTAATAATAGTTGGAAGCAAGGTCCTTCGCCAAATCACCAAATTAAACTAAGAACGAAGGCCCCGTATAGCCGATTATAAACCGCATCTAGCAAAATAGCAATTGAAAACTTTAAATGGTTATCTTGTTGCTCAAAACCATGTGCAAACGCTAATGCATCGAGACAACTTGGTGTACACGTTTACACTTCAGAGTTAAAGTTCCAGCTGGAGGGAACAAGTATGGCAGTGAAACAGATAATTTCAGGTGAAATGGACGGACTCAAAAAATCAAAATCATATTAGTTGCCTACGAAAAGCAGGGCAAACATTCCTTAGAGCAGGGACATTTTCCTGTGAAAATCAAGTACTGACCAATGGGGAACTATGCGCATTGGAAAAAAATTAGATGCGATTTTGTAGTATCTGATTAAACGATAACAATTAGCCACGCAACTGCAGATGTGAATTCATCTGCTAATACCATAAATAAACTAAAAGTTAATCAAATATAATTTGATATTATAAGCAAAACACGAGGCATTTATTTACAACAATCAAGCGCTTTATTGGCAGCTGATCGCCTCTGGTGCTGCATACGGATACGTTGAATCAAGACCGATTTTACCCAAAGTTCTAGTAAAGTAGCTGGGCAGGGAGGGCGAAAGTGCTGATAGGAACAGCACGTTCGCTTTCTCGCTAACCGGAAAGGACTTCCACGACAGCAACGGCACGCCACCGCCCGCATTGACCAGGCGTCCCCTGGGTGCTTTGACTCTGCGGGAAAAACGATGCTCGGGTCCGAACCGCAGTGGAAAGGGCAAGAGAAGTTCAGTGCGGTGAATGTGAGTCGGAATCATCGCTCGTTGAAGCTTTCCCCCGCCCAGAGCTCTCACCAAATCAGCAGGAAGTGGGGCCCCGAGACGGGCCATGGCAGGTGGTAGCACCATTGGTGTGCCACCTGAGATCACCAAACGTGATGCCTGAAAATACGAAATAAAATATTACTACTATTTATTTTATAAGTGGACAGTATAACCACTTTAATACCTGGAGGACTTCCCCAATCACTTCGCAGCCCTCGTGCACGAGGTACATTTCAGGTGCACCCGCGTAACAACTGTTACACTTGACCTCGACAAGGCAGCCATTGTCTCCAGACGAACTGCGAGATATAATGCGATGGCTTAAGCGTTTGTACATTAACCTTCCTCTTTTCTGCGCTACTCCTGAAATCTTATCAGCGGTTGGTCTACAAATTGATGAAGGAACGAAAAGCTAGTGAAGCGCCACATGGACGAAATCGTGAGATTTTGGCAAAAAAGACCTTACCGATAGCTCACAGAAACGGAGTCAGAGGCTTTGTAGATACTTATTGGAACCCGTTCATTTTCAACACGCTGGCGAGAAGGCTGTCCCCAGCAGGCAGCGAGGAACGTCTGATACATTGAGCCCGGGAACTAAGAAAAGGGACCACGTTATTCGGGGCGAAATCGTAGGTGTGATTTTAGAAAAGTAGGCCAAACAGTGGTAGAAGGACTTCATCGAAACACCACATTACCTGAAACATTCAGTTGTGACGCAGGCTTTTCGTACGGCTTAGCAACATCTTACTGTTTGCTCCGCCGCTACAATGGTAGTTTTTCTTAATTTATACTCCAGAATGAAAAAAAAACAATACTAACCTTTAGCAACCTACTTGTGGCTACACTTAAGTGAACATGACTAGTGCCACTTTAATTCGACAATGATGCGGTAGAAATACACCCTTCACCATTGTTAGTGGACTACACTTTAGTTCCCGTAGCGTCAACTTCTCAAATGTACGGCGGAAAGCCTGATGATCGTACCAAATGTGGAAAAGAATTCTCGTGGATTGAAGTGCTATTGCAACCAGACCAAAACACTGAACCATAGCAACATGACGGACTATGAGAAGCAGAGGCTACCGGCTTACACAATTGCGAGAAGCGTCCGCGTAGAAGGTTTGGGCGAGTTCAGTGTAGTCCTTGGACGGAGACAATAAGATCAAGCCTGAATAAGCTGCCGGCAAGGCCTCCACGATAAACAGCTCCGTTGGTGGTCTCCAGTTTTCCAGAGGAGTGGGTCTATGTCCCACCAGAACGGTGCAGTGACTTAGAGACTTGGGCAGGCTGGGAGTTTCACTAGAGGGCCAAATTCCGTATTCATCGGCGAGCACTGTTCTCAAATGGGGCAAACATTCTCTAATACTGAGAGGATTTACTGATTCTGTGGAATTCTAAAGTGGCGTAGGGCAACTCAAGTTACTTACATCATCTGCAGAATATGACGCACTCTTGGAGCGGGCATGGCCCCAAACAGAGAGATTAGCGGGTTTGTCAAAGACAAGGAAATTGTCACCGAAAGCTACTAATCGAGTGGCGAGAAAACGCGCAAGAGCGAGATGGTCGTGGGCCAATTCACCACTTCTCACGCCCAGGGCGTACTCATCTGCAAAGAGCGTAGTGTTCTTACATTCTACCTCAGATCTCTTTGCTGTGTTGGAGAGTTGACGAGCAACACTAAACACATGCTTTATCTAAAAATATGAAGACCGAAAACAAAACGACCAGAATGAATTAGCCGCAAATTTACCACGCAAAATATAAGAGATAACGACCTTTTCCATTAACTCAGAGTTGATACTCAATTCTGTCACAACAATACCACTTGTTTTCTTGCACACAGTCATAGTTCAAGAAAGATGGCCACGAAGTGCACATTTTCTATCCCTGCTGTTACACTACTGCTTTAGAAAGGCTTGGGCTTCATGGAACAAAAGCAATGTGTTGTGGTTTGTACACTAATCCCACCACTCACTGAGAATTTGAGAGCCGCATAGCAGATCCACCCGCCGAAAGAGAGGGCACGTTTTAGATCAAAGAACAGAGAGAACGACCACCAAAATGTGGATAGTATCACTATACTATAGTTAAATATTTAAGCGTAGGCTAACCGCTTCTCGCATCAAAAACAAAACTAGTGCAACACTTGATCAATTTATCTTATGATGGTTCCAACCTATGCAAAGAAACTTCTGAAACACTTTTAAACGATTTTAAAGTATTCAGAGCCCAAATTCATCACAAAAATTAAACGACTGGATCTAACTGCTCGTTCTTCGACGCTTAAAGGGAAATAAGTGATTGCACAAAGTACATGCCGTATTACCCCAGTGGATCCATAGCAACCAGCAAAATTGTCAACTGGTTCACACGAGGCATTAAATGAGTAATCATTAATGGCTGTTGTCGTAAGAGATGGACATTTTAACAGAAGGCGGATCAAAAAGTAGCATTACTAAATACTAAAAAAGTACTAAATACTCAGGATATGAACTTACCTCATAAATAGGCCGAAGGATAGCCCGCATTGATATTGATGCACTGGGAACAGGAAAAAAAGTAATCACCAAAACAACCAAGTCATAACCTTTTCACATAATAAAGACTTCATTACGTTAATTCCTAAAAATAAGGAATTTGCTGAACGTTAAACAAAAATTAGATCTTATATGAGCATATGAGATCACTAAGATGTTTCTCAGAAATTGTAGATCACGATTTCCAGTAGAATAAGTCCCGCGGCACTACAATTCCCTTCTGTAAACGTGGTGAAAGAAAGTAAAAGGGTAAATAAACAAACGCTTCTCTAGGACGAATCAAAATCAGGTCAAAACTTTTTAAGATCTCAGGAAAATTGCGGAGATGGAAAAATCATGTAACTGCAAAAATTTTTACTACTCCAATATTAGTTTCAGATTTATACTGCATCTATTTCGAGCTGCTGTTATTCTATTGGCCACATGTGAGTAAAGGGCTATTGTTATATAAACAACCCGTTAGATAAAGTATAAAAAACATAAGATTGAGTCAAACAACAGCATGCTATCAGTATTTCGTTGCATAAAAGTGGATTCGGTTGCAACAACCCTACGCAAAAAAACATGAAAACAAGAACTACGTGTCGGTAGAAATACTACTTTGTGTCAACAGTATTAGTAATCGAATTCATTAAGTTAGGTACACCGTTTCTATACCACAGTACTTTGTTGACTTGATTGGTAATTGTACTATAAGATTGCTATGACATGCTACTACCTGGGTCACAGCTACTGGAACTAACGTTAGACCAAACGAAACAAAATCCCAACCTGAGGCGCGAGAAAACAGCCTCGGAACTTCTAATCTGCGTAGCCTATTCGGTGTATGTAAACAAATACACCAGTCAAATTAAAAGCAATGTCTGACTTTACAAACTCCAACTAAAGCTAAAAAGTTTCTAAACAAACCAGCTGTGAATTTGAAAAAAAGCAGTCTTTAGTTTGCAAATTGTTTTGAGAATTCATTCGGGTTAACTACAAGCGTCCGTTTCCCTTTCCTGACAAATAATAAAATTGCAATATTAAAAGTTTCCTCAAAAACAAAAAATATTAATACACAAAAAGGCTAGAAAATTTGGATTGTACTAAATCTGATTTGGCTCAAAGCACTCCTCTCAGTGTGATTGAGATTCACAGAGTCTTCATAGAGAGCACATTTGACTAGATATTTAACAATGAATTTAGAAAGTGATTAGTACTGTTGAGAACAATAACGTAGCAGTAGCAGCAATTATTTTTTTACATGAAGAGTCCATTTATAACAGTGACGCATTTGGCCAATCAATTCAAAATGTAAAATCGTTCGCGATGGTTCATTAGTTATTTGATAACCAGAAATTAGGCAATGCACTCTAATTTGTTCATTGATTTTCTTATTTAGCATTGTCAGTAGATCAATCTTACATTGTAAAAGATTAAAAGCATTATTTTTTACTCATTTTCATGTTTATTATATCAATAAATCACTCCATTTTCGTCTGGAAACATTTATCACAGAACATAACTATGAATTCGGTTCCTTTCTATTTTCTTGAGATACAGCATTCTGAACGCATCAAGATTTAAAAGATATTAAGGATTTTGAAATTTTCCAACACCAAAATATTTTTAAAGTCTTTCTCGGTTCAGGACTGTCCGTCATAAAATCCTCAATATCTGCCGATTTTTATGTGTTGCAGGGTGCATTTCCTCAACGATCCCTTAGAAAATTAAGACCGTCGAAAATGCGACATGGCACCACTTAACTACCAACTTGGCATGTGTCATTTTGATGCGTATTTTGTGAATTTATCGGGAAATACTTAAAAGAGTGGACCGAAGTGTGTGGGGATAAGTAAAAGTTGCGAGTAAGGCATAGATGCTTATCAGCTTCGGACAAATCTGTTTATGCCTTCTACAAATAATGGTCCACCGTGTATGGTTTAATTGCTTAAGAAATCACTTAGCTGTTAATACACAATGTGACCTTTACAAAATCATTTGATGGAAAAAAATCATATCTCCGAATCAAAAAAAGATTTCACTGTCATGAAAAAAATTTAATTCCCTAATTAAGCAGGGTGCATTTTGCAGAGAATCACGTTGCTGATTTGGACCGAGGATATTTTTATTTGTCTGGGGTAAAACAGTAGAATATTATGCATTCACGTTTTCTAAAATGTAGTAAATAGTGCATGTTATTAGGAAAAAGGGGGCATTTAGCATAATTCCCGTTCATTTTTTTTATAATAGCGTCATGTTTGATAAGCGATTTAATGTTATGAATTTAAATTGTAAAACAGCTATTACTAAGAACAGCTACAGTATTGGTGTCTAAACTTTTGTATTAGAAGTTTCACAAGCCTATAAACCAAGCCATATGAAATTTAAAGCGTCAGTTTTATTATCAGCATGTTAGTTCATAAGACGATGTAAACATAACGAATTGCTTTTGTTTAACTTGTTCTTATCTTATGCATTTAATTTGGCTTGCACTTTTGCATAATTTAAAAAAAACACGAACTAAAACTATGTGTATTTTTTTATGATAGCGGTGACACTTTACTTCTCTTCCACAGCCATTTTGCCTCTCAAAAATAAGTAATGGGCATGTGTTATCACAACTCATCATTTGCCCTCTCATCTTCTCCGCATGCAGTTAGTAGCACTGATGTTAGCAGCCTTTTTAATGCACGTGGAGTATACATATGTCGAATGAATCGTGCAATCTAACAACCACTAGAGTTCCCCTCATTCTGAGCCTTAATTCTATTACCTAAAGATAAGTAGGCAAATTGCTTAAAATCATGCGAATTTGCAATAATTTTTTACAGACACCCACAAATCGATAACCACAAGGTGATTTTGGGTCCCACATAGGTTAATGAACAAGTCTGCAAAGATTTGAATTTTTTGTAGTTTTAGCACAAACCAGGGTATGGTAAACTTATTGGTTAAAAATCTTTACAGGTCTGTTTGGTTAAGCAGTGGAGTCCCTCAAAGTGGAGCTTAGTTCTAGGTTTATAAGCAATAGCTTGAAATTAATGCTATCACAGATAACTGATGCGATTTGTGCATCTTTCTTAGAACTTTAGAATACCTTGATTGATGAACAGGAACGTTTTACGAAATTGGGTAGGAAAGCAGCAATTACTAAAAACGCTTTGAATTATTATCTGAATGATGTTGACTACATTTTTTACCGAAAGTCGAAGGTATTAGTTAACAGTTTCTGTTTAGTGAATAAAAAATAAATAATAAATGTTTAACCACAAAAAATACATTCCATATGTGGACGGTCCGCGGCCCTTCCCGTTGAGAAGATTCTACTATTTCCCACTGTGCAGTCTGTGTAGGAGACCAACGCGTCTACTAAAGTTGGGCTGAAAATCTGTAGACCAATGCCCTTAAAAGTTGTCGCGATTCATGAAAGAATACTCGTTCTTGCTCCTGTAGGCAATACTTATCTTTTAAATGGAAGCCCAGCCTGGACTGTGTAGCACCAACTCTAAATAATTAGGCTAGTTTTATTTTAGAAATTTTTGGAGATTGAAGTTTGATAAATTATGACACTTGCTATATTTATCAACGCTCGATACTTTGATACATTTGCTCATTGCCGAAATCCATGCTACTTTTCTTAAACGACAAGGAGCCGTGTTCACCATGGCAACGCTACACAACAAGTTGCTCAACGAAGTTATAATGCCAACACCTCCAGCACCCACCATATTTTCCCCACCGCGTCCCTTCCGATTTCATTCTCTTTCGTTCCCAACAGTATGATTGAATGGCTAGAATTTCGTTTTATGATGGTAAATTGCTGGTCAGCACTACCTAACAAGCCACAGCAACCTGGACAGGCGAAAAAGGATTCACATCAGGCCAGCCAAATGTGTCCAAATCAAAACATAAGCACTATTATCTACTGGCAGTACACTATAAATGTTTGCTTGAGTGTTGGCTGCGAGACTCAGCAAGTAGTCGCTAGTTATCGTGCCGTATCAGTAATGCAAACAGGGATCTAAGTGATCAGTCATGTAGGTAACGTTAAAACGGTCGGTGATCACAGTATCCTGAGATATGTTGCGTCCAGATACAATGCAAAACCTCAAAACAAGAGAAGACGCAAATAACGCGTAGTTCGAGGCGTAACAAGTTGTCAGTTTCTATAGCGTCGAATACTATCAATCACAGAATGAACATAGCTACATGAAGTGCATTCACTTAAATCGATTAAATTGTGTTTGCTTACGCTGGCTAACTGTGCTTGCTTGCTGCTTGCTGCAGCTTTCTCCCTTGGTAAAAGTAAACGACGGGCGTCTTCTAAAATGACAGTGACGGTATGTTTACTGTCGGCAGATGTAGACGTTGGTCGCAGCCGTGGTCCGTCGTTCGACGGTGTCTTCGTGTCAAGGAAAGCTGGCTTGGAACGGTCAATTGATACTGTGTCCATTCTTCTTTCGGTGTTTCGCGCTATATCTAGTTTGTTTACAAATGACGCCTAACAGATAGATTCGGTAAGGGATCGATTATGCGGTTGTTCTTAAGATCTAGAAGACATAAGGTGTTGAGGAAATTAGCGCCTATGACTGGGTGAGTTACCGCCGCGATAGTGGAAAATCAACGAAGCCTGCGTTGTAATCCGAGGTTAGGGGTAGAAGATTATTGATCACAGGTGGGGATGGGGAACCGTTGGTGGCTTTGAAAATATTGAAGGGGTTGAGAAACCGTTTCTAGGAGCATGTTGGAAGGACAACGGATATGTCGGTTCCTGAGTCGATCAAGAATCGCATACCAGTTGACCTGTCGGGTAAGAAAAGGAGGCGGTTTAAATGCCCATTGGCAGCTAACGCCACTACTGCCGGGCATTCTCGGTTTCCCGACTGTGCGCGAGTCAAAGGTTACGAACCTAGATAGAGCCTACACTGTCGGTCCGTACCCAAAAGTTTCGTGGTACCAGCAAAGATGTCGATATAATGATCGAGAAGCGGATCCACGACGAGACGACAATCGACTTCGCCTAAATTAGTTGTAATATTCTCTGCCTCGGATAGGTTGGATTGGCATGGCATCAATTACTGCTTCTACTTTGACTAGGCCGTCCTTCACTTCAGTGAGGTCTTTCGATGTGTTTTCAGGCGAAGGAGCATTCGATTGTTTTAGAGGGCAAGCTTTAATTTCGGAGAAATGTACCGATTTGGTCGCTTCTACTATCAGGTCTGCGGTGTCTGCGATATGCTCAAGAGTTGATGCTTCGACAATGGGAGTCAGGATTGGTTGGACCATGTTTGGTAGTCGTTAAAGAAAACACGCTTCCCAGAAGTCGCCGTGCAATGTTTCATTGTTAAAGAACTGCTGCATTCTCCGCAGAATGTGTCAGTTTTGGGTCTCCTAACTCATCACAAGACATGAGCTGTTCTACGCGTTTGAATGTCGAACGCTGTGCACGGGTTTTTCGGGTTGAAGAAGCAAATGCAATGCTTCGTTCGCTCACGGATCAGGGCCGAAGATAGGTGTAAGTACTTAGCATGCTGGCTGCTGATTTTGGCTCCGTAAAGTTGCGCTTCCAAAACACCCAACTAACTAGAGGGAGTATTTGGCCAGGATGGAGGTTATTTTATGCTTATTCCTTCCGCATTACAAGAAGGTCGGTTTTGTCGACTGTTCAGGTAGGGGTCACCAATATGTTGCCGCCGGATACAATGAGAATCACAAAAGAGAGGAGGACTCAGGTAACGCGCAGTTCGAGAGGTTTATTAATGCTGTGGTTTCGCAAGGGAACAAGTCACTAGTTTATATACGATCGATTAATATCGATCACTGAACGAACATGGCTACATGAAGTGCACTTACGTAAACCGATTGAGTTGAGTTCTCCACAGATCCATTTCCGTTAATTGTCTACGCGTCGAATAACCTTAAAGGACTCATGCTGATGTGTTTGTAGGTACCTATTGACGACGAATTTGTCGTAATTACGAGTCATTAGTCTGCGCTGCAGTTAAATGTTCAGTATCGGTACCATGAACTAAAGAATTATACATGCGTGTTTTCTTCTTCTTCTTCTTCCAGCAATACAGGTTCGTGACGAAGGCTATAGCATCCTTTGTCGGACTTAGATAAAAACTCCATGAAACGTTAATTTTTGACCTCTGTAGCCTAGTTTGAAACTAGTCAAATACAAATACAATAACTGTTTAGAATTACAATGATGAAACTGCCTCTCTGCCGCTGTAAAATTATGTCAACCTCGACTTTCTTTGAACCCATAGTCAGTTCTAAATCAATGTTCCAATTGTGAGCGGGGTTAGCAAACTATTAGAACCAGTGGGAATTCATGAGGAATCGAAACAAGACATCACTTTAGAAATTTTAGACATGTTTGTCATTAAGGATGATTGTAATGGTGTCAAAACCCCCTTCTTCGCTGTAAACGTCTACTAAAAAAGGAAACTCAGGAAAGAAACATCAATAAAATTAGCTCATTTGACAGTCAATTGACCGCGCTTTTCATGTAAATTCTGATTTCTATTAGAACTTCTGGTTTGTACTGGCAAATTAGTCAGCATTATAATCGAATTTACGATAGCCTTTAACGCTTATTATTCATTTTACTTATAAGGTAATGCTTGCGACTGGCTACCTGCTTCCAGTTTTGGCTCCCAGCTACCAGAGGAATATGGGCAGATTATACTGGGATGCTTGATGTTGCCTTACACACTTGCAGCTATTTCCAAATATAGGCCGTAAATTTTGAAATTAGGAGTTGTTTTATCTATCTCTATTGTCATGGCAAATTACGTCGAAAATGCTTTCAAGGCAAATGCCTGCTTCAGCAAGACACCTTGTTAAAAAATAAATGAACCTAAGAGCTGTTAGTTCGATGAAATAATTCTAAATGCCAATTCTTGAAAGAATTAGCATGATGCCTTCCTCATAATTGGTATAATGAAATCATGTCAACTGAATATCTAATGCATAAAATGGGCAAAGTTTGTCCAAATTATACGGAGATCAGCATTAGTTTCTCGGATTGGCTGAAAGTGACGATGGTTATTATTTGTGAAGATTGTTCAGAAACTTACAGATAATTGGAAATAATTTGCGAGGACGCACCCACCTCAGCGATGCAAAGTTCATAAAGTTTTGAAGTCGCCACCAATGCAAAAAGAGCTACTACGATGACGCGTTTAATCTCAGTCCCACGTCAACTGTTTGACCAATCAGCTGCTGTTACAAGACTATTTAAACTGTTCACCAGTCCAGCTATGTTCAATTTTTGCCCAGTTTCCAGGAAACAAGCAATGTTGGCCCCAGTAATCATGCTTGGTCTTCTTATTGCTGGAATCCTGGCGTCGCCAGGACTTCCTCGCAGGCCCCCACCGTTCTTCGATTCTGATGCATTTCAGCTGACCGACCCCACCGTGACGGAGCAAGTCGATGATACGGTAAGTCTCTATGCGATCCAATTAAGCTGCTCGTTTTGCAAAAGGTAGCTGATCACTCGGAAAGTTGAAGCAAATGTTCTTTACAAAACAGAACCTACTGTGTCGATATATCAAGGTATATCTATTGCCAACGTTTTTTCCAATTTTTAAACATCTTATGGAACCCTGAACCTCAATGCTAGCACTTTCCAAGGATAACTGGAGACACACAAGCGGTTAATTACTGAAATTCATCCGCATTAAGGCTCAAAGCATGGAGCAAACAAAGTGTGGTAATTTTTGCAATGGTAATAAAACAAAACCTAACACAAGGAAGTAAATTATGCAATCTAGTCTGGACATCCCAAATACATTAAACCGAAATATTCTCTGCTTACTTTGATGCGAAGGTTCGGTGTTTGGGTACGTTAGTATCCAAAATGTTAAATTAAATCTATTGAATTATTTTAGGGTGTGATCTTTTTACGATTTTTCTACCAATCAATTCTTAGTCAATTCTGAATTCTTTTTCAATTCTGCATTGAATCACACTCTTCAAAAAAATTGAACATAAAGTGGCTCGCCTAGGTAATGGCGAGTCTTACAAGCAATTCCTGAAGAGGTGTACTACAGCAGAACAATGACACGTAATGCTGGTTCACTAAGGGTAGATAAAGTGGCAATTTAACACTTCTTTGGACAAGTCACGTCCGTTTACGTTAGTCAGTTTTAAACTTTTGTGACTTCTTTGAGCCAAATTCTTGTTTCGTGGGTGAGGTCAGTTCGTGGAGACCAAATATTGCAAGAATGCTAACATAAACAGGTCTTAAGCCACTTTAGGGTGTCAATAATAAGGGCTAACCAAAAATGCCAAATGCGAATCTGATAACGACTTTACAAAGAGAAATTAAAACAAACTTCCCATGGTCTAATCCCATTGCTGAACAGGGCAATCTCTATGAGTTGGAGAGTGAAGAGAATTATCAAATTTGGATGGTTATTTGAGTGTCTTAACATATGATTGATATTGTTCTCGATGCGCATGGGCATTCAAAATTAATTTGCAAAATTATTACGGTCAACATTAAGTCCACAATGTGTCAATGACGCCCAGAATAACTAGAACAAAAGACCGACAGCTTTTGGAGCGACATCTCAAACGCACACAAAACTAATGGCTGCATTGTCCGTAAGGCGTGCGTTAACATCAAGAACCTGTATTCTGGTTTTGGCAGTTAGTTAATCACGGGTTGTCGAACAATCTTTCATTTTCACATTGTTAACGGTATGAAACAACACCAAGTAGAGGAAATTGCTTATTAATGTAAGTAAGAGAGCTCGACTGTAGGTTGCAATACCCTATTTTGATGGTTGGCACGGCATTTAAACTTTTTGGCTCTTATTTGCATTCATGCAACATCTGTATGCATATAATACATTTTTGAAAAGGTATCCTGCTCAATAATCCGATCTACTTAACGACAGTGCGCCGCAATAAATCAATTTGTAAATATTATATATAGCTTTATCAGTACCCACACCGCTGCACCGAAGCCACAGCTGCCCAAAAATCCTCCCGTATCCATTTCGCCTCGAATTCGGTCCCTCTAAAATTAGATCACAGGCGAACCAGTATTTTGATCTCGAGAGATTTTGGTTTGGGAGGCTACTTGACGGAGCCATTGCTCGGCAGGTATATAAACCGTATCCGGTATTGGCGAACCCTTCAAATCACAATCTGACCTGGTGTTACGCATATTCTAGATGCAACAAATTGAACAGCCAATTAGGAGAGCACAATCAGGTCTTCGTTGAGCAAAAACCGACTTGCGAATCACACACAATGGTCAGAGAACGATTTCATAGCAGTCGCTTTACCATTGACAAAAGGCCCACTTCAATGTTGTTCAATACATATTCCCGCCTTATTTCATAAGCCCAGCTAATAATAAACGAAACGTACCAATTTACAATGTTCCAGGAATTGTGATCACGTACAAACAGAATCAATTCCCAAAAGACCACAATATCAAGAGTTACTTAAGAACTGGTGAGCTTTGGATAGAATATTTGAAAAACATGCGCAGCTGTGATGCACGTTTAATGCCAAACACTTTCTCACACTTCACGATACTTAACCTTCCCCTAGCGGTGATTACAAAGCATGACACACCGAGAGACGGATAAGTGAATCTCTCCTAAATACTAATGGGAAATCATAGCTTTTGCCGAGAGCAAAAAATCGTCTAGAATGGAATAAATTCCTCTAGCATATTTTTGGGAAGCTTGATACTAGTAAAATACCCTACTTAGGTGTCGTTTAAAACCATTCTTTTTGACTGAACCGCCAAAAAATGAATCCTCCTTGGGGAGTCACAAAACTCCCTGTGCTCCACCATGGAATCAGAGTGCAGGTGCCCATTTCTACCCTAGTGGAGAGATTGGCTAAATGATTGGAACACCACAAATTGACTAAGAGCGTCAGCGCCTAACGAGTTGTATAAGATAGGAGTCACCTGGCTGCCATTGGTTACCACGAATATCAGACCGACCACGCTACTGGTTGGAGCGCTTGAAGCGGCGCTTTGGAGCCGGAACTCTTACCATTTGATGAGTTTAGACGTGTAGGCATTCAAGGACACAAGATTCTGTACTTGACTATCGTGCAATCGAGGATCTGAACAGCGTCCCAAGCACTATTTTGTTAATTTCGAATGATCTATAAAAAAAACTCTATGGAATGCTTTGCCATTTCAGGCACCAGAATTGTACCACTTGCGACAATTACAGGCCCTGCGTGACAGGATGAATGGAAAGCAATTTCAAAAGCGCTTCTTCTGCAATCGATATGGATGCATTTAAATGACTTTGGACGACACTAATCACCATTATCACAGCAACTTCGACTTGGACTCATTCCATTGACCAAGTTGTGTTTAAGTTTTTAAGCATGTAATTAAAACAAGTTGTGGTGTGTACACTTCTCGAAAATTGTGATATTTGAGGGAAGAAGAAGGCATAAGGGGGATATACGAAGAACACGAACATTTGCACATATGAAGCCAAGCACCTGAAGCTCTGCAGTGCGTACTGTGAAAAGCTACCATTTCTCAAATCCAATATGACCGCGTCAACACCCACCCGGAAGAGACCCCGATTGTAGGTAGGATCAAGAGGCCCAAGCAAGGGCACCGAAGTGCAGTTTACAAAGACAGCAGGTCGTTGGCATCACTGTGGAAGCAAAACCACCACCACATGGTTCTGCAACGTTTCGTCAACAAATTCAAAAGCAAGGAGTCAGTGCACTAAGCGTAAGCCTATAGTCCTCCATCCAACACACAGATGACATCCCCAATACCCACGTAAGAAAAAAATACTTCATTGTGGTCACACAATACTTTAATGTAAAGGTAAATTTCGCATAAGGTAATTATACCTAATTAGAACTCATCATATTGATTGATATCACAAACTGCATCACGCTGGTTAGGTGTACGACTAGAAAAGGGAGTAAGAATCGGTTCATAAACTGTAGGTGCAATTAAAAGAGGCAAAGACGATGTCCTCTTAGTGCATTAAACTCTCTCTTGAGTTAAGGGTACGAATCTACGAATTCCGGCCAAATTGAATCAGCAATCACGGAAGTAAAAAGGTACCACAAGGAAGCAATGCTTACAGACCAACTAGGTGTATATTTAGCTCTAGGAGTCAAGTTAGTATAAGTAAAGCAAATCAAATGCATGACAAATGAGAGAAAATGAAAGAAATAGCACAAGGCCACTAAAAATGTAGTAGGTAAACAACTGTGAGATGAGGAGAAGATTGCAATCAGGAGATGCAGCAAGCTTCCTTGTTGACATCAGCGAGGTTGATTGTCCCATGCAAGAGCAACGAAATAGACGCCTTGGCAAGAAAACTCGTTGTGCCCAGCCGAATGTTGGCGGGCGTGGATGCAAACTGCTGGTAGACATCCCAGTCGTCCGCGACAGCCACGTTCTCCGGCCAGGAGAGACGGCGCGATTTAAGGTCACGCGGCCTCGAGTCTCCGGCACTGCAAAGAATGAACCGAATAAAAGTAAATGATCAGTTGTGGTGCCATGGCGCGTTTAAAATTAACTGGGGACACTTGAGGCGGTGTGCCCAGGTTGGTAGGTGAAAAGCTCGCTGAAAGGCCCATAAAGGCAACTTGATTTTGGTGAAAGAACATTAGTGGACTATGTCATAGCTGAATCCACCAATGTGAACGATCTGGAAATCACCTAGGCTGTCCAAAGAAGCGAGTTCGAGTTGATGATTGGATTTCATACAAAGGAGGAACTTTGAAACCCTAACGTGGGCACATGCTTCTAAGCATTAGGGATGATAGAGGGTGCTACATGAGGCTGTCTAACTACACAAATTTGGACTCCTGGCTGAAGATGGTAGTCGTTTGCGAGACAGTGAAGTAGGGCGAAATTAGGTAGGTGGGGACTGTGAATTTGATATTTGGTTGGTATGGCCATACGCAGGAGTTAGGCAAAAACTTCAACACCGGTCACAGTAAAACGAGGAAAGTGCTTATCAAAACAACACAACCAATCATGCTAGGACCCAAACCAGGCGTTCGCACAGTTGTGCTGCCCAAGACACGTGATGCAACATTTACATTGAACCTGGTTGTTTTAAACTGAAGCAAGGGATAACAGGGAAGATCTAGCGGATTGCCGCCACGGGAGCGTTCGTCATGTGTCAAGAGCTTTAACCAAGGTGGGAAATTACCCGGGGCCAGAATTGTGCAATTACAACTCATGGTAAAATCCACGTAACGGAACATCGAGGGCTAAGTTTAAAATTATAACGAATAGTTTGCGATTTCGCAGCCTAGCGCGCGTGTAGGCCTTACCGATGGTTGGACTGGTGGGGTAGATTGAGGTAGTAAAGCTTACGGGGAAAATTTGGTGCTTAGATTAACTGAAGGGTTACAATTGACGATGTGAAATGACGTATGACTACGGAAGACATGAAGATTTAACATGACAATAGTGGAACAAATGGATGTACTTAAGTCAAGGAGCAAAAAACATACGACGAAATGTGATGATGCATGGCAAAATCCTTGATAGCATTCTGAATAACCAGTCGGAAGTCGACAACTTCGGTGAAAGAGAGCTCTTGGTTTCGTTCGAGAATCACCGCGATCACCATCACCGTCTCGACGAAGAGAGCACGATAGGTCGGATCCGTGATGCTGCGAAGAAGACGCTCTACTTCAACCACCAGATTCAGGTCATGCGGAGTCATGTCAGTGAGGGTTGGATTCTGTGAAGAGGGCAGTAGAAAGGGGGTGGGGTGGTGGCATTAGTTTAGACGCAAGTAAAACCGCGTAATGTGCTGCCGTCACTACTGCGGAAGAATTATTAAAAACGCATTCACACGAGCCTAGATAAGGGGCTTGGGATCAGTGCGGAGGGGAATTGTAACAAAGCCTGAAATCTCGGCATATGAGTAACATTACCTGACAGGACTGACGAAGTGCCTGGTAACAATCATTTGACATTTTATTTTATCAATATTGTGCAAGCAGAACCAAAGGAATTGCGATTTTAACTTGGCGCGAAACAGCAATACTACACTTAGGTCTATTCAATATAAGGAGAGCAAGCAAAAACTATTAGCTTTAAACAGCAGAGGAAAGCGAGATAAATAGTATTTGGTAAATATGCAGCACCGTGGGGTTTGGTTAGGAGTAAAAGCCCAATCCACGCACCATCGTTCACACATCCACGTCAACCAACATAGTGGGAAAACTTGATATTTTCCCTCAGACTGGAATAAGGGCAACGGTCATTGCCACGCAACTCACGACGCCTCGTTGCAGCTTGTTAGAATACCTGGCACCGTTTTTAAGCAACCATGGCTTTGCTTCAGCCCTTGAGGTCTATCGAATTAAGTGCGTAATTTTGGTTAATCAGTCAAGCAAACTGGGAAAGACAGTGCGCACGTTGACTGGAATGCCTGGGTAATGTCAAAAATGACTGGTTATAGTAGGTGCCTTGTGTGGACAAGAGATATAGCCAAATGTCAAGGACCAGTAAGATGCATTAGAAATAAAGTACGGAGAATGTTCCAAATGCAAAAAAGCACACAAAAGGGAGGAAAGTGCAGTTATGCGACTAAAATTTATCGATTCATAATTTATTGAACATAAATTTTTTGCGAGAGCCCCGACACCCGGGGAGTAGAAAGACAATGATGAATTGTCGCGATCTCCATGGATAACCAATGCGAGAACGACCTTGGAACAATTACGAATATCCCGACGAAGACAAGGCGTGAGAAGGGGAAACCGTGGTCGACTCAGCAATCGGCTAGATATGCGAGATGTTGAATGGAGGCCAGATACATGAACCTCAGAGGTGTTTACTCACGACTAGTCACAAAATTTCCGAATCACTCAGACAACACTTCAAATGGGACACTGTGGCGGAATTGTTGCGGATGTAATCGGCATAATTTTGAAAACATGCGGCTTTGGAGATTGCTGACACCCTCGATCAGGGAGACACAGGCCTTAGAAGCATGACAGTAAATCGCGCATGGGTCAGTCGGCTGTGAGGCCGCCGTCAGTTGTTTGTCTCTTTTTTTACAAAGAAGGTTCGTGGTGAAAAAAATTTAATTCTTGTGTATATCTCATTGGAGTGCGGTATTAACTCTAAAAATTTAAAATACACCTCAACTAAAATAGTCAAACTGTGAAGTGTGCATAACCGACCACAAAAAGCAACTGACAAAGAACTGTACAAAAAGCATTTTACGTTGCAATTCAAAACAAACACGAAGATCATGTGGACACACAGCACTTTACAGAAAATCTGCATAACCTAGATTGATACATTTTCTGTAATTAATTTGGGAGAGAACTGTCCAACAACTAGACGGCTAATTGGAGAAGCTCACAGTATCAAAAATCCGTCAGGAAAAAATGCCAAAAAAGGTCGGCTAGCAGTTGGCAGTAAATGAAAAATGTGACCAACCCCAGGCTGGAAAAATCGCCCAACAAAACTGCCCAACGTGACAACAAACCAAAAGCAAGCCAACCAGCCCCTCCTACGCGTGTCTTCCTGGCCGCCGCAGGTTTGCGACTTTTTAATTGTTTCCTGATTGTTTGTACACGCCTATTTCCGGAATAAAGCGACGCACAAAATAAGCCGAAACCAATAAGTCTACATGTGTGCATGGGGCGCCCCCCCCCCTCTGAGAGATTTTAAATCAAAAACCAGACGCCGTGGTTTAGTGGAACGCTCTGCAAAGTAGACGACCGACAATTAATCGGCCGCTTTTCCTCGAGCAACTCTAGTCCGTACTGTTAGCAAGTAGAAAGCGAACTAGAAAAATCTCACAATGGCTTTTTTCTGTAATAATTAAAAATTGTAAACCAAGATTACCTGAGGCAACAAATTTGACATGATCATAACGCCACACGGAGCCCTCTCGAGAATGTGGTAGATCGATTCATAAAAGGTGTTGGGCACACGGCCGAGGCAGCCGTCCAGCTGCCGCTGATAAAGCACATCGCCGGACGAGTTGTTATTATCTCTGGATTCCATTGATTCTAAATGAGCAAACACGGTATGAGGTCTTAGTCGCTGAACGTGTGACTTTAGCTTGACATCGTCTTAATGGAGCCACTCTCCATGCTAAAAGAATATGCAATGGAGTGACAGACCACACTGTGAAAATAAAAAGCTAAAATCCACAGTGAACCAACAATATTCTAACTTCCGTTTACGTGGGCAGAGGGGAAATCCCACTACAACATACCAACATGAGTATGAAAATGTTGAAACAGGGGATTTATTTGGTTCATTGTGAAGACTACCACCATCCAGAATCGAAAAACTTTAGCACATAGCTCAGATTCAATGGCAAGTTATGATATTTGATAGCAATCCACGAAATTTGGTATAGGAAAAAGGACAACCAAAAAGCACCTTCTCTTAATCGGCGGTTGTGCCTCTTAGATCCGTCGGGAGTCATGTGCTCTAAGTTGCCGGCACAGAGAGTGCGATAGAGAAGGCTCTTTAGACTAGACGGGGAGAGGGACTGCAGACGGCAAGCACCGAGGCTGCGGCCACACTGGGACACAACTTCTGGACCCGAAGACATCGCGTCGACTCCTTCACATTGGCCGTCTGCCTCTCTTGCCTCCTCAGCCTCAAGTTGCAGCTTCATCGCCTCCAAGAACCACCTGCAATAATAGGCGACGTTGTCAGGAAGGCAACGTAGCATAGTCAAAAACAAACCAACTCGTAAATTTTTGCAAATTTTCACGACATTTTTGGTTTTTAGCGACTTTGCATGAACGACTTTTACTTACTACCTTTCTTCGTGCCTCGAGCAAGTATACATTCTTGTCATGTTAAATATGGAAGACTGTTAATGTAAAGCAAATTCACGCAATCCTGTAAGCATTCTAGGGGTCCGAAAAAATTATGGGATGATAAGAATACGTCCAGGGATAAGGTAGATGTCGAAACACTCCATATATGTAGTGTACATTTCCGACTAGTTGCTATGGAAATATAGAATATGGCGTAACAGTGATGGAACCGTCAGTATAGTTGGGCGACAGTGAGACGCGGCATATGACAACATTTCGATTCCACAAGGTAGACAGCACGGCACGCTTTGGGTAAAAACCGACGTTTTAAATAGGATGCTCTGGTTCTGAAGGCATTTTGGCGATCAGCATGCCTAACGTGAGCTGATTCATGTTTGAAATAGGTTATATTGACTTCTGATAGGCCCCCACGTATGCCGATGCTTTGTTGCAATAAAACGTCTAGGCCCCACACTGTCTACGGCATTCTCGCTTTTTCCTGGCAGACCCGTGTTTACGTGAGTCGCCAACCCCAGGCGTGGTATGAGCTTCATGGGCCTACAGCATCGGCTGCATCGTCAGCACAAGTTTTTCCACAAGATGACGATGCTTTCTCGTCCGCAAAAACCAGAAAAAAACTACCTTAAACTACCGACATTGTCAAAATTAACTTACGCAGATGGAACCGACTGATTCCAAATATCACGTGAATGCCGAATGGTTTGAAAGTTTTAGCAAAAACGACTACACCGGCTCATTGAAGATTTGGTATGGATTTGAAGAACCACCTCCAAACGAAGACAATAGGATAGAACAGTTGTAGCACCGAATGCACACAGGCTGAATGCAGCCTGTAAATATTGAATAGCCTAACAGAATGGTCACAATATTAATACACATTGGGATACGATAATTTAAACATCTCGTCATTTTATTAATGAGTATGAAGTATGGAAGAGTTAGGCCGCAAAATCTTGGTCTGTGTTGAAGTTAGAAATGCCACTTTCACAAGTTGCAACAGTGTTGATTTGGTAACATTAGACGATGTAAAGGGTGTGTCCATGAAATCGAACACTGACTTAATCGAAACACCCAGATGATTTTCAGATTTGTTGGTGAATTCATGAATGAAACCACGAATCGCATGTAGATGCTTAAGTCATCCAACCGCTTGTCTACGATCTTATTTCAAAATCATTCAGGTTCGACAACTACCTCAGAGTTCCAGAGAATGTTACAAAATCCACAAATAGATAGTTTTTGGATAATTGTGACTGACACCCAGAAGCGCAAGCACGGAGGCGTGTGCAAGAGCGACCCACCCACGGCAAAGCACTGTTAGGTGGGGCGGGGCGGGGGGAAGAGAGCACAGGAAGTATGCGGTTTTAAAACAAACATCCACCGGAAATCACTCAGGAGCGACGGGGAGTGCGATAAACGGACTTCCTGTACCCCGCCGTCCCGTCCCGTCACGTCCCTTCCACCTGCCTATTTCCAACCCCAACACGGATCTCGTGACAGCAGTAAACACGTTTATCACACTGGGCATGGAATTTTTAAGATTAAGAGGCGCTGTGAATTCGCGGTGATCATTAAATGGTTATTATGAAATGAAAGCACAAAGCATGGAAAAGATTGAGTCAAGCACGTCATAAATACAGCCCAAGTTGATTCTGGTAAAATTAGATTCTTAAAACCCCTTGAATGTGATGCAATTAACAGAAAGATATTTTAAAGTAAGCTTACTGACTTATGAACAAGCCCTTCAAACACAATATCATAGTAGAAAATTACCTTATTCGAATTTGAGACTAGAATATGATTAAATAAGTTGATTTAAGTCAGCAGAGAATGAAGGAAATTACCATGTTTCGGTACACGGGGATTTAAAAATATCCTCACCCAAGTCTAATAATAGCAATGTTGTTGAACAGCGACTTGTCCTTATTGAGGAGGGCAGCGACGTTAAAGATGAGCTCCTGTTGGAGAGAAACCTGAATGGGATCGACGGAGAAGACGGTGTCGCGGATAAGATCGCACAGGTCTTGAGGATTCATGGGTTTGTTGACGCCCACTTCGGGGCCTTGGACAGTTCCAATGGTCAGCTGTTTGCCGCACACCAGGATTGAAGACGTCGAGGGAGCCAGGCTGTGCACGTAGTTGCCCAACAGTGCGGACGCCAGTCGAACAACAGTCCTGGAATTGTACAGAGAGCTTGGCATAAGTTGATGCGGGAGTACAAGTAACAAGGCAAAACCTATTTTACAAGGTATTTTACACGCTTGTGAATTGTAGCCCTGAAAACCAAAGTAGGGAAATGACTCTCATTGAGGGGTACGTAAGTATTTAACACCTGGACGAAATAGGACAAATGTGGAGCCCGGAGTTTCGAAAACAATCGGGAGAACGGTGCAAATGAAGGCAATATTGAATAGTTCACAGGGCAGACGCTAAACGGTCGAAGTAAGGGCGTTCCCAATTCACTGCAAGCCGACAGATGAGGCTTCATTAGTGCCTGCAAGCCATTCAATTAAACAACTAACGCGTACAAGGTAAGAGAAACAAACATTAAAGGGAAGCATCTTTAGCACACAAATTCACAAAGACGACGCAGAACTTGCACGAAGGTAGGAGTACTCAAGGCAGCAAAAAGAAAAAAAAACAACAATTGTATTACGAAGGCGGAATGAAATAAGAAGAGTGGTGATAAGGCAAGGGGGTGCAATGCAAGTGAGCCAAGCGAGTTCATTCAGTGTGCAACTCAACCCACCAGGTCTGATTGAGCCCGGCCCTGCGCGTGAGGTGGGCGAAGAAGTCGCGCACAGTGCAGGGGTCCTCGTTGGCCCGGACGACGTAGTCCAGGCCGTGGCGGTGCATCAGTTCGTGCAGGGCGGCGACCTCCTGGGCGTAGCCGATGGCCCGCACCGCGAAGGCCGACTGCAGTTCGGGGCACTTGGCCGCGGCCTCGGGCGGGTGGTACGGCCAGAACTCGCGCCTGTCCTCCTCGTGGCACAGGAAGGTGATTATTTCGTTGTCTGGCTTGCCCGAAAAATGCTGCGGAGAGTAAAGATGAAAGTTACGCCACGGGAAGTGGAAACTGCAGTCACGCGTGATTAATAACTCAAGAGAGAAAGTTGGAGTAGGTAGTGACCCCGTATAGATCCGTATGGCTTCAAGTGGAGTCCCTCGGTAAAGTCATCCAAGGCCAGAGGCAACCAATTAATCAATGGTACAAAAATTTAACTTAAATAATGGAAAGACAAAGCTTAAAAACATGTCCACGTATGAACCATTTTCAAAGCGAGAGCGAATAATCAAATCTAGCTAGTTGCGTGTTAGTGAAATTGTCAAATTGGCAAACGAGAAACGACATCATGCCTACTGAAATATGAAATAGTAGAAAAGACGTTTAGCTCACTTGTCTGTTTGCAGCGTCAGTGATGGCCATGACCAGGACGGCCGGCATGCGTTGATTCAAATCTTCCTCGTTAGGAAGTTTGGGCAGATCCGTCAACGAACGGAAGGACCGACCACCGTAAAATTGTTTCAGACCCTCAAATTCTTCTAACTGAGCAGCCCAATCTGGGAAAAAGTCGAGGTGATCGATGCATCCAGTGGCAACAAAGTTCTAAAGCGGCAGCAGAAAAGAACAACTCTTACAACAAGGAGAATAGATTGAATTAGAGAAAGCGAAATTCCGAGTCGAATGTATGCAAAGAGTGACGATTTTGTTTCGAGATTTTTTGTAAGATTATATGCATACTAAATATGAGAGGCGACGTTGTGTATAATTACATGGCTCAATATTAAGATTGAGGAAAATGGATGTGTGGACGAGTGCAGTACCTGAGCGCGTCCCAAGACAATGCGCACTCCATCGACATAGTTGTTTTGCAAACTGACAAGAAATCGGATCAGCTCCTCACGCCCGTGGCCACTACAACGGAGGAAAAACCGCTGAGGCAAAAGGTTACATCGAGGCCAAGCAACAGATTAATCGATTTTAACGAGGGAACTTGGGTGTTAGGATAATGTACTCATGTTAACGCGGCTAAGTGAACATAATCTTACCGCAAATACACAATAAACAATTCTGGCGTTGTGTAAACATCTGCAAGAAAACGTAGTAAATACGCATATGTGTGCGCAACGCAATCAGCGAACGCAAACCTTCTATCTTAAAGTAAGCATTAAGCACTGCACCCACATGGGCAGGTGCGATACGTACATGATCATGTCTTCCTTAACCAAAAAGCAGTAATTCGGTCGCCCTTTCATTCGCCACCATTTTGAGAGGAAAATGAGGTCATTCTAGAGAGAGAGAGAGAGAGGAAAGACGCCTTTTACGATTGGTGCACGAGACAGCTACACGTTACCACTTGCTTACCTTAACTTCCTCAATAAGTGCACTGATGTCATAGCAAAAGTAGAAGCTTTGGTCCTCGAAGAGGTGCGGAAAGACCAGTATGGTGGAGCCAGAAACGCTAAAAAGAAGCACAGGGAGTAATGGCGTGCCAACAGACACAAAACAGTCCAGTTTTCGAAGCACGTGAACACACCGGTAGAATTTGCTCGCACCAAGGCATCCAAGAGGTCGAGGCGGGCGGCCGTTCAGACGGAGGCGTTTGTTGTAGCCCATGAAGACAGAGGCCTTCACGACAGTTGCTGGGGGCCAAAGCTACAACAACAGGTCATGAGGTGGACCTTAAGTGTGGGAAATCAAACAGTTGTTCAAAATGCCACCTGCTAACATTTGACACCATTTCAGATGGCAGTGTTTTAACATATTACTCGTAAATAATGTTCGGGAAATGGATTAGAATTGTTACAAGCGCAGAAGAAAAACAATTGGTACCTTGAGGGGCTCAATTTCGACGGGGGTCTGTGTACGGATGCCAAACGTGGCCAATATCTGCTGGAGACGCATGGACTCAGCAAGTAGGATCATCTGAATGCACATTGTGGCCGGTCGACTCTGAAAGGTGGCAGCAAATCCATGCAAGAGTAAAATAACAAAACAACTGTGCAAAGCGGACATGTTGGTGGAATACTGACAATGTGCCTCGGTTACAATACCACATGAAGGGCTTTTGTCATCGCACAAATCCCGGCAACGCGGTACCGCATGATCAAGTTTGGGGACAGATGCCCTCAACTATGAAAAAACGCAGTCCACACGATTCAGTCCCCCACCGTATTTGAGGTTAGTATGGGGGGCCTAGTAAGTGGTTGTTAAGGAGGCTGTCACTCTTCGACGCAATGATGAAATTTCTGAGGCAGCCAGTTATGCGAACAATAACATTATGGGTCTTTTGATCGTGCAGAACCCAAATCCACTTGTTCTCGGTTCGGATGTGTAGAGAATTGTTTACGGGACAATCCCTAGGATGAACAACGCGTGAGAATAAAGCTGGGTTATCAAAAACTAGTTTACAAGTCCTCACAAGTAGGACATTGCGAATCGCCACAACCCAGCGCAGTACCTAACCTGTTTACAAAGCTACGTCACTTAACATAACGCTCATTGCATGCTGATCCCCAATGGAGGTACTGGCAGATCTATTTGGTTAAAGCATAGTACTACTACATGCGAAACTCGAAGGGTGTAGGAATGACTCGAGCCAGTGAGGACACTTATTTATTTACGCGCGATGTGTTTCGCCAATTGAGCGGCGTATGGGCAAAAAGTAACGGTAGGAGTAAACACGCTCAAAAACGCTTTAGAGATTATTGGCCGATTCAGGTTGTGCAAAGTTGCCGGCCGATCAATATTTATCCGCTAGTGGCTAAATGAGTGGGGGAAACGATAGCAATTCAAAGCAATGGCAGTTTTGGTGTCATTTCGAAAGTTATTCATACTAGAAGTGTGCCAGAGCAAATTCTGACAGCCAAACTACATTGATGGACACACATAAACTGGACAATTGAATTTACATGAGACCAAATTATAACCCAGTGTCTTAAGTGCCCGAACACTTAGGCAACCAAGACACCGAACTTGAATCATGAATTTCGTTTGCAGAGAACTGCAACATTTGGTGCAGAGGAAATTTAGACTGGTGGGCTAGCGATAGCTAAGATCTCAAAGTGTACGATTTTGTGACACCAACGAAACATAATAACAGTAGCATAATGAGGAAGTTGATTCGATATTTAAAAACACTTCCTAATGAATCAGGTGTGTACCAAGACAGCAATTGACATGGTAGAAGTGACAAAATTGTCATGTGAAGCCATTCCTTCGTCAAAAGTGGCACGTTAAAGGGGTACCTAGCATTGACGACTAACAACCGTTTAACAGTTAGTGCTTACTGAAATGGTCGAATAGCGTGAGAGAAGAGACATTGGGCGAGCATGGGCAGGACAGTGGCGTCCGAGTGGATCGAGGTCATGGATGTTTAAAACTTTTTTCACTAAAAACAAAAAAACCGAACAGAATGTGAGGCAGCATATAGTATGTCTACATCACGACAACAAGTGAAGAGGTACAATAATATCCAATCACTTAAGGAACCAATACCAAAGAGGTCCGCAAAATGGGAGCTTAGCCTACCAATATAGTAAGCATAGTAGAACCCCAATCTTCATAGCCATGATCCCAACCAGAATGGATTTTGAGCACATACCGCGGAACCAAGACTGAGAAGCTACGGATAGCAATGCTATAGAAATGATTCCAACAAGTGAATGCGAACTGCTTACTTTCTTGCGTTTGCAGTTATAAATTTGCTTCGATCAATTTAAAAAAAACGCATTGTGATTATAACCAAGATTCAAAAAATTTAGTTATTAAAAGAACTTCCATGACATGACATCGACACTTACTCAGCATTTGAGAAATGATGTAAACCGACTGGCCCCAGAGAAATCGCGGTTCCATTCTCAGTTTGAAATTGCTTCTTCTTTCCTGAGAACCTGGATTCTCCTTTTCGGCGTCAATGGAGCACTCAGGCACGAAGTAGAACTTTGGCAGCCAGGGATACTCCTCAGAGAGTGGATGTACCAGAAGGGACTCGAGCATCTCCGCAAACTCCTGAGCCTTCTCGTACTGCTGCTCAAAGTGGCATGCGATGACTTGGTACGCAAAGAACATGGGCCATTCACTTTCGATGCCTCGAAACTTGCTCAATTCACCCTGGGAGTAGAGCGTATTTGTCTCCAGCACGGTAGCATAACCATCACGAGTGAAACGCTTGTAGCCGTAGTTGCCCTTGAGCACATCGACCCGAGTCATGGTAGCCTCGCGGATGCTGGGTTTGTGAATGGCAAAAGCAGGCCAGCAAATTGTCGGAATTAGTGCCACGTCCGTGCCCTAATAAGTCAGAAAACTGCGGTATCATTTGAGCCATCAAATTCAAGGAAAACTCATAATTGCCTGACAATAGGATAGTATTATTACTCGATAATATTAGCCTCATTTCCATTTCAAAAAAAACCACAAGCAAAATGTGCAATGATTACCGATATATTGAGGATACACTGAAAGACATTTTTACGAAGTCAGAAATACTAGCCAATTTTAAAATGAGGGAGATGAAACAGCGAGAGATGAAAATCAGACTTGTACTGAGTTTACCGTAGACACATATAAATAAGGTTACGAAGGAAGACAATGAATCTGTAAGACTAGTTATTGTAAAGGGAAGTTAATGAAAAAACGCTGCCTTACTTTAGACGCCGATTCACGGGGCAGAAGAGTACACAGGATGCTACTATTACGACTATGCGCATCAACATCGGCAAACATAACGGTTGTGTGGTCTCCCTCACAGCCAAATATGTTGAAGCCGGAAACAGACTCCAAAGCAGCTTTTGCCATACCGATTGAACTAAGAGGCAATTCCACAAAACAAAACTTTCGCACCTTGCATGCAGTTCTGTTATATCTCGATTTTGTTTGGAGCCACGCTCCCACATACCATAGTCAGGAATACGATAAGCTCTCTCCAGATAAAAAATAAGATTCTGGATAAAGGCTGCTTCGACTTTCGTGTGAATAATCTAGTAACAAAATTAGGAACTACAGGAAGTGAACACACCTGTAAGCCAGAAATAATCATTTGTGTAAGCTGAAGTAGATATAATCCGACGCAATCTATTTGAAGATGCTTATAGCCTGTGCCTTCGACGGGGGTTCCTGTTTCATAGTCAAGACGAGTGTGCAGACATGTTTCCAAGTTCTGTGTCATCTTGAAATTTTCTAACTTTAAAAAAACAATTGGAAAAATCGGAAAACCAATAACTTAGGCAACGTCAGACAAGGAAACAAAACTTACTCTATCGGCCTGTCGCATCCAACCAAGGAGGATTGCACGCATGCATTTTACAGCTGACTGACGAAGTTCATAGTTCTGACCTGATGAATCTCCGAAACGCCTTGGTTTGATTAAAAGCACTTCATTATGGAAATGAAAAACTCATTTTATGTACAAAATTGTGCATGATAAAACTAGTTTGTTACTTAACGGCAATGATTCTAACGCTCGAGAGCGTATATCACTGCAAGTTACAGAAAGCACAAAGGTCAAAAAAGACAACACAAATCAATATGAAGGCATACTGGAATGACCGGTGCAGTGCCCAGATAGCTGTAGCACAGTAGACATTGTCGCGGACATGGGCAACACAGTTATGAGCGGGACTTTCAGGACGACAGGGAAAAAGTCCGCTAAATGGGTGTTGATATTTGATCAACTGGTCTTTCACTAAAAGATTAACAAGCCCAAGAACTAGAATGTGTTGTGTTAAAACTGCATATAATTTAGGGTATGCATATGTGAATAAATATTGCCAAAATACCTCAAATGATTAGAGCACCGTAGTTAAGATCTCTATAATTATGGGTTTTAACAGCGCTGGAATGTACAAATATGAGAATAATTATAATTTTTGTGTAAATACGTGTGGCATATTGTGATATACGTTAAATTAGCAAGTAGAATGATTTGGAAACTCAAAACCGTGTCAGCAAAACAAACTATAGAATTAGTTTCACACATGTTTTACTGACTAATGTATTAAAAAACTGCAGGACAAATTACCGATGCGATAAAATTGGCACAATTGGTGTTGGGTATCTTTAATTTCCCAAATTGTTGACGCCATCACAAAAAACCAGGCGAACGTGACCCACACCCAACTTGCACAACATACGCGCCCAAAATCTTAACAAGATACAACGAAGATTTTCGCGTTTTAAAATTACAAAACGCAAAATATTTTTTTAAACGCTTAAATGTTTTAATACTTTCATTTAGAAATTACAATTCAATATAATTTATTGGTAAAAATGATGTCGATGATGTCACTGTAGGTCAGTTCTGATTGTGGAGTGTGTATTGGGTTGTTACTTTGATTTGAGCTTGTAGGGTTTCAAGAGTGGCCGCGGCTGTTTTGACGGTGTGTGCTGTAGTACAATCGATGGCCAATGCACAAAAGATTGCTAATATATTTGACCTTGCCTCTACCGCCTTTGGAAAATTGGCTGAACTCACTTTGGATTTAAAAATATTCCAAGCACAGGCGGAACAAACTCATTCTACTAGTAGCAGGTGGACAATTATTGAAATGGAACAGCTGAAAGAAGCCATTGCGCGTTTTGGCAATGACCTTGCTAAGATTGCTAGCGTCATAGAAACCAAAACCTTAACTCAGATTAAACACAAGCTGAAGAGCCAAGCACTTGATGGTCCAGGAACTGGACCCCCTGAAGTAGAAAATGAAGAAGAAAAAGAAGTTGCAGAAGAATCAGGGGAAGATGAAATGGGTCACGTTCAGGAACTAGCCCCAGTTTCCACGGTTTCTGTAGGTGTTTTCTTTTTTTCAAATTGTTTGGGTTATCAGGTTGATCGTGGTCGGCGAAAACAAACATTTTCCGAACGCAGTGAACAATCATTTCCCGACTCAAAGGTATTTTTGTTCTTTGATTATTTCCTGGGAAAATAAGAAACTTTAATCTTTTATTAATTTGCAGAAACGTCGTATTGAGGACATAGCCCCATCGCCGGTGACAACAATACCCAAGTTAGGAGCACCTCTTATCACAAGGCAAGTCATGCCTGTTGGAGCAGCACAAAGACTCCCCACACCAGCTCAATCCTCTACAGTTAGCCAGCCGCGAATCATTTCCGCACCTGTGGGACCCAAGGTTGTTACTCATGCACAAATGCGGAAACAACCGATGTTAACACAAGAATCAAAATATGAGGAATATTCTGACGTAAGCATTTTTGCTATGGTGATTTTAAGCTTCTAAAGCTCAGACGATTAGTTGAAAGTTAATTTTGTGGTTCTGTTTTTCATACTAGTTCGTTGGTAATGCTATGAACTTGAGTATTACCTGAAGGGGATGGAATTATGATTGATTTATTTAATAATTGGTGGGTAGGGAAACCCATGACATTGATGTTTCATTTTTTGGGCACTTTACCAAGCCACCGATGCCGCTATTTCTCATCACGTGTTTTGGGCACTAGTGCCGCGTCATATTTGCCACACCATTTTAAGGTGCGCCTAATTTTTTGTGCTTGCTTTCCCCCACTGTACTCTTCATAAATTGGCCATAGTCCGATCATCGTAGGATCTTATTTTATCCACTCTACTTGTCTACATTTCCTACAAACAATGGTCGACAGCCAAAAGCATTCTTTTGTTCTATTTTGTAGCCTAGCTAAGTTCTTGAAAACGCAATCGCGAAATGGATTATAGTTTGGATTTCGCACCTGATTGGGCAAACGATTACTGTGCCTTAATTACAGTTTTGTTAAGGCTAAGCAAAGTCCTAGTTGGTATTTTTGACTAAAAGTCCTATCCAGTGATTGGTCGTTTGTTTCTAGGATGAAGGCGATGACCGCTATGATGATGACGACGACGATGATGACGAATCCGACGCGCTATACTATTCCGATGATGAAGGTGCTGATAACGAACGGCCAAAGAAATTATAATTTTGGTATTTCGTTTTACCATCTTGTGTGCATTTTAAGTCACGAAGACATTTAGCATTTGTTTTTTATCTGTGAAGGAAAGCCATCCAAACAATGAAATCGTAATTATTGTTTTTTTTTCTGAGGCAAAGTCCTGGTATTATTTGGTCAAATGGTATCACAAGTGACCTGTCGCAACCACTCATCGTTGACCCAGAATTTGGGAAATACTAAGATCGTAACTGCATAATCATATTTTAGATCAATTATTACCAGTATATACATTATCAGTGAAACGAAGTAAGGAAATGGCGATTCAAGGACAGTTTAGGAATATTTGGGATCAGTTGAATAGCGTGTATCATATATCCATGTAGTTTTCGACATCGACTGTGTATATGGAGACGAAGATCGTCCCCTTTAGTCTGACTTTTCCCTCGTTTCCCGTTGGCTTTGAGTAGAGGTCCAAGTCGAAGTCTCCAGTTCCAGTCGATTCGGGAGTGTTTATGATGCACTCCCCAAGGAATTCGTCTGCTCCGATGGTGTGTTTGTCAAATACCTAAAAAACAAGAAAATATTTGGTCACAGGATTTTTTAAGCTGGATATTTCCAAGGCCTTTTAGCATCCCATGCTTGATACATGTGATGTTCTGAACAACTTGTCGAATGTGTTGTAGTCTGCAGTTGATACAGACAGCCAGCTTACTTCAAGTTTAATCGGCTGCTTGGTGGGTTTCGAGCGATAAAAAACGAAGCTGTCGTTCCACTTGGGGTTGCTGTTGCTTGTCTTTACTTGACTGCAGCAGCTGGAGCCCTCACAACTCACTCGACAATATGGCGAAGGTGCACCTCGCGAATTGAGACGAGCCAAGTTAGTGCCTTTTCGTAGCTCCACCCGGGTAATTATTATTGGTGAGCTGGTGAAAAGAGCAAAAACTCCACGTGGAGGCTGGTCATGGATGAGTTCCCTAAAACGTACAATATATGATGGCGACACAACGTAATAAGTATACACTGTGACTCTTGACATCACTTTTACTAACTGTAAGGCAAATTTTCAGGACGTGCCTTTGTAACAGGAAAAACAGATGTGCGGGTGCTCTTAACTTCGTGAAAACGCGTTACCCCCCAACAGTAGGCGGTGCACCGGAGTCCTAGCTGAGATGGTTGACAGCTAGTAATACCTGGCATTGAAATCTAGTAATGTTCTACGCGGTAGTGGATAAAAGAACATTCACACCACCACGGGAGGTCTTCTGTGACACGAATTTTGGTGATGCAATAGAGTGAGTACACTTCTCATTCGCTCATAGTAAAAACCACTCATGCAAAATGAAAGGGGATCAGCCCAGAATTTAGCGAATTTTCGGTGAAAAGGTACGTCAGCCCTCAATATGATTATGAACTTAGTAAGAAGTTTGCATTCAACCAGTGCTCAGCAGTAGTTTGCTTGGATGTGACACCTGGTAAACGTTCTAGGTCACGAATACTACTCTATATGTCAAGTAAGGTCATTTGCATATTCTGTGTTTGCTCACAAATAGCGCACGCTTCGAGTAGTGTATATATTATGTTCCCAAATTTTCGATGCGCGCGATATTTCAGGTAAAAGACCCAGGTGGTTTGGTACCACAGCAGCAGTGTCAAACGATTTGGCACCAGGCAGTGCAGTGACTCCAGATGGAGCAATTTAAAATACGCTTGCAATGCAGTTCCAAGTAGTAATTTAAATGACGGTCTAATGTTTAGTCTCTCCTTCGGCCTCGGTTACGTGTACATAACACTTAAACACGTTCTATCTAACAACCTAATACTCTTCACTGAAACAGCAGATAAAAGCACGCTGGCCGATTGCTGTGAGTTTCTACCTTGCCTCGTAAAATTAGAGATGGTTTACTGTAGAAGTTATTGGTTTTGATAAATTTCGCCTATAAAAAACCATGAAATGGCCAGTGTCACCAAGCAGAATTGGATGCATTAACACTGAACAGGGAAGGGGAATTAGTCGTGTGGGTGGTAATTCCGTAAAATTCTTAACGTGATAAAAAATCATTCTAGCACAAAGACTATTGCGGATGTTCGTTCACAAAAAATCCTAGGAAACCGTAATCAATGCCTAAACTTGGTACGAGCAAATGATTTTGGAAAACATCACACCAGTCCGTCCTCTATAATCGTCGAAGTCTTTGCCATCTTCCCCGGCACCATAGAATGCTTTAGATGGCCACTAACCTCAAAATAATTATCAAGCCAAAGGGTTCCTTTGTGCACTTACTGATTTGAATTTGAACTTAGAAGTAGCGTTATGACAGGCGAAGAGTATTTTCTCGGTAAAATATTACTGAACAGTTTTGTAGAAGACAGCTAATTTCGTCAAAGGGCCCGGCAAGTTCTCATTAGCGCGCCTCGAAAACTTGCCTACAATGTCAAACACTAGCCAACAGCGTTAATGACCGAGTATTGCGTAGTTGGCGATTGAATCGCCTGTAGTTATCAGGCGCTTGCTGTTGGAACACATGATTTCAGCTATAATTTTGTAGTCATAAGATCTAAACTTTATGGCACCATGTCTATTATCAGCAAGTAATTGCACTGTCCTGTAAACACATTTTAACATTGTATCAGCGAAATTTGTCCTTAGGCATTGAACAAGGAATGCCAAAGTATGCAAAAGAGACCTGTAACACACCCAAAATTACCTACTAAGGAGAGAACGCGGGAAAAATAGACGCAGGTAGTAATTGGCTTCCTGCTGCGGCTCCTCCAAGAAGGGAACCAAAATGTACCGCCCTTTCTCTAGGTGGTAGCGTCCGAATATGGCCCGATGGGGCTTCGGTCCTCGCACATCGACGATGTTGCATAGCGACAGCACATGAGCACGCACCTCCCTATTATTCTCTACCTAATTAAAAAACGAGGCGTTTTAGTGATTAGATTTTGAAGATGTTTATTCGCTTTAATTGTACATGGTCTCCTGGGTACTGAAATTATGCATTGAAATTTAGTCCAAAATAACTTAAGTACTTTGTCCTCAATCACCGCACCACCTTCAGCCAGGAGGTGAATCGGTCGGATTCGATGACGCTCCAAGCGGTTCTCTTTAGACCAGGTTAATTGATTCCCTAAAATTTGCTTAGGCCTACTCAACTTTAAATCCGAGAAATGAATGGAGAATATATTCAGATAAAACTATTCATAAAGATAACAGAGGGGAGATTGGGTCTTCTTATTTGCAACGGAGTTGCCCTAAATAGAGCGAATAGGGACGCAAACCCCGGCGTTAGATTGAGATAAACAGTTTTTCGCTTTTGGTCCGTTTTTGCATGCCAGTGACGCCATAATTACACATAAATTTCACGTAAAGTTATGAAACGCCAATGCTCCGTATATTTTGGCAAGCAAATGTGTGTAGGAATTAGGTTCAATTGCACGTGTGTGCGTTTATTGCACCAGGGCAAGCAGCACAAAGATGAAAAGCAGTACTCTCATTACGGCATTCACATATCCATTCAAACGCATTCAGCATTTAATATGGGTACAATTTGTCGACCCAGAACCAACCCTTGGCCTTCACCGCACAAGAGCTGGTTAACTTATTCACACACTTACTTTAAGTAAACCGAAGCCAATAGGAGGAGGGGAGGGTTCTTCAACTATGGACTGTGTGTCGGAATTCCAGGTGTACTTTCTCGTAAGAGAAACAAGAACTTCCTCGGGCGTATCCTTTGTCACCTGGAACATGTACTAAATAAAGAAGAGGAAAACGAAGACCAACCTTATTTTAAGTGTGAGATTACCTATAAAAATGAATTACCAAAGTGATCACAAGCCTTGGAGTTTAGGGAGTACTTCACTTCAGCATTCTGTATCCATTTTTCTGGATTTGCGCTACCAAGCACTCCAAGGACCGGTGGGTTTATTTCAAGCACACTGGTACAATTTATGCCATTTAAATCCTGTAGAGATCGTGGAGAGTGTAAAGCATGATCTTTAATACCTGCGAACACACTTTTTAATGACCTTCAACACTTTTGCCTGCTGTGCTTTGTATGCAGGGAAACACTTACGGTTGCGTCAAGGCATCCATATAGAGAGATGGCATTTGAGTAATACGACACGAAGAGTTGTCGAGTAGTGCAAAACCAATAAGCGACCAGTAAAAACCCCTTCTACATTTAAGATGTGACATTTTTAGGGCGTTAGATGAGTCACTGATACCACGTGCAGTGGGGACCGAAACATACTGGACAGATTTAAGTTAATATGCTGACCATTTTGGAGTAGTAAATGACCATTTCTTAAGCCATTGGACACCTATAAGTCTATAAAATGACCTGCCGAACGTTCTCAACACGAACTTTGTAAATAAAATGGGAGAGGATGATTTGCTTCGTGGATTAACCAAGTAACTTGTCGAATTTACACAACCGACAATGGTATTTACATGGTTCATAAATTACGGTGTGCTCCTCTTTCTCGGAAGTCAGACATGAAATTACTGTGGCCGAGTTGGATGGCTGGGTACATTTAATGCTGGCGAGTGCATCTGGCAGAAGAGTGTAACCACATTAGCCAATGACAAGAGGTGCAAACACCCAAGTCAAGTTTACCAGTGGCGTGATTTAACAGCCTGGCATATAGCCTTGTGCCACAGGCACTGCAGTACCGTTTCAGCAACCTTGACGGTGATCGTGGGTATTGGTCAAATTTTCACAGAGCAAAAAAACAAGCAAACATTTCACGAGATCTGCGGGCACTGTTTTATGGGATAAAGAGTGTAATACCCTGGAGGTGATGAGTTACAGTTCTAGTATTTACTTGTAGTGCAACTAAATGCCGCTCTCACACGATTAGATCATCACATGAGGTGTCTGAGGCAAACACACCAGTGCTCGTGATTCAATTACACACCTCAACTACAAGCAGCAGTAGTTAAATAGACCAGCTTTGCACAAATAATGCTGATACGATTGTGAATTCTATCCGAAGGTGTTTACCTGTCGTAAAAGAGATTGTCTCGGCGAAAGTAATAGCTCTGACCGAAATTCGAGCATGTTGATTCCGCTCAAATTTCTAAACTATATTGCCTCTAATCGGTTTTAGCGATGTAGTTGAGGGTCAGCTAAAAGTCGGGTCAAATGTCTTAAAAAACACCGATTCTATGTAAAGGTTATTTATCCTAACAAAAAATGAACTCATTTAGTAATTTTACTTGTTTTCGTTAGAAGATAGGTTTGTGTCACTATCTGTGTTCAAGTTTCCATCATTAGTTGTAATGCTGCATAACGATTCTCAATAATATAAAAAGGCAGATAAACTACTGCAAATAGTCTGATAGCGCTTAAAACCGAAACTTGCTACTTCAAGAGACTTTATGGTATACAGATCACTAACTCCTATGTTTGTGAACTTTCACATATGACGGGGACTGTTAAAATCATAATGTATTACTTCAGTAACCTTGACAAAACCAAAGGGAGACAATTCGGATTTGAAAAGTAATCGAAATCAAAATGCACGTCTGTTGACCAGAGGACTCAATCTTATGCTTCGAAGCAATTTGCAGTACATGAAGCAGCTAACAAGAAAGGGCACATAAAGATCTAATTTTTCACAATGTGCATGTGACAACGGATTTTTTTGATACCAATTATTTTAGAAAAATTCACATCTTAGCCAACTGAGTTATTTTGAATTGTCGAGATCCTAAATCTGGTGACTTATCAAATCCTGTCTGTATGATGCAGAATCAAAAGCGATTTCCGGATTCAAATAGAATTTGACTGGGCAACTTGTCTACGTTTCACCACAAAAGTATTTGTGGACAAGCGTGAAGTAAGCCTTCAGTGAAGATAAAGCGGAATTCGACTAAGTTCATGCTAACTTTGGAGTTGGCTTTACTAAAAGAATGACAAGCAAGTCGTAGGTACCAGAAAGTAGATCGAAATGCAATTGAGTAGCTTATACAAAAAAGTTTAATCAGATCGTGAAAAATGAAAAAGTGAAACCCCACTACTAAAGGTCACAAAAGTTAAGTGTACACGCACTGAACTAGGTTCCATGCTAAATCATAATACCTGTGGGTTTTGAAGGAAGGATTTCCGGAAGCCGAGCCCGCCCCCACTCCTCTCGCCAGGCCACGATCCATGGTAATCAGCTAAGGTCCACTGATTAAAGAGACCTGTCTTGGGCAAAAGACAAACAATCCCACCCGCAAAGAATTCCACTAATGCAGCCAAAGGCATCCAGAACTCAGCCTCTGTTGAAATCACTAGGCCTATACGAGTTCTTTGGTTCACTGTTAGATCTTCCCATTCCTACAAATAAGGTTTTTAGGAACTTAAAGGACTAGAAATTCAGAGCCATGCAAAGCTATTTCGTAAATTTTATCTTACGACGAAATGGAATAAGTTATGGATGACAGGAAAGTGATTGACAAGGAAAATTTAAAAAGGGAGGGCCTTTAACTAATGAACACGCATCATGGTTCGTCAGCTACGCTACTGCTACATTTAACCAAAAGATTACTTGATGTTTGGCGATAGACAGTGATATGCTACCCAATTTTTAGCTGCATTAAGCTGACTTAATCAATGTTCCATACATAGTGAGAATAAGCGTTTCACGGATTAAAAATTGACGACAAACACCAAAAAAGAGTGTTAAAAGCGGACTTCTTAGCTAAGCATGTGCTACGTGCAAGTCAAGTAAAGCCCTTAAACAATTCATTTACATAATAGCAAAGCCAAAAAGGGTTTAAAATACTTTCTGCACAATATAGATTTCATCACTAATGACAAAAAACGAACCTTGGAACTATCAGAGTAGGAACCTTTCCACTCGCCAAAGCTTGAAGACTTGGAAGCTACTGTAAGAACCGAACGCAATCGGAGCAACCGCTCCTTAGGAGGGTCTTGAGTAATTTTTAGGGCCGAAAGCACAGCTCCCTTGACACTTAGATCTCGAGGTACTAGGCAAGTTTTTGTTAACATGTAGGCATAATTTGAACAAAGGCCAGTAGCAGGATCTACACATCCCAGGCACCTTGGAGCACATAATTCTTCAAAAGAGGTACCACTTTCATTGGCAGATAAGGCACCATTATTCGGTGCTAAATCATGTTCTTTTATATCCGAGGTTAACTTGGACTGAAAATTAAGGTTTATTTACAGATTGAACAGAAATAATTACTTTGGTGCACAAAAGAATAATTGCTCCATCTGTCAAAGCGTGTTCAAGAACTTCAAAAGTTTGTATACGCCGAAGATCGTTAGCGCCAGACAGGTTGTTGAATGATAAAGTATCAAGAACACAGCCAGTGAGGTCTTCTAAAGCGTCCTCTAGCCGCACGTTTTCTAAGTGATCGAAACCACCAAGCATCCTTTAAAAATGAATTAAATGATATAATGCAATATTGATTTTAGGATGATTAGCAAAAACAAAACATATTTTGGTTCACACAAAGGTGGAACAGGCTGATAAGTAAAGATATCAGATATCAAGTTAAGCTTCCAGGACTGCAAAAAGACCAATAGGTTATAGCCAATTATTTACAAGTCAAAATAAGAAAAAGCAGTGCAAAATAATAAAGTTATGAAATGGTAATAAAACTTGCTTGGCATAAGCTTTTGTGAGAATGGATGGCCAAAATTCATTTGGGTTGGACGAGTGAGGACATATAATTTTGTCATTTATCACAGGAAGTAAATCATCTACAACTACATCAGTAGGCACACCGTCTATCCAAAAGCGAACCCGAAATAGTCCCACATACCCAGTGGATCTTTCAAACGTATTAAGTTCCTTCAAATCTGGAAATAGCTGGATCAATGATGAAAACTGAAATACAAGGCACGTACTGCATCCAAAAATTTATTCCGTTCAGCAACAATTGACATTGCTAATACAATGTTAACATTTGATAATGATCCAAGGCAAATTGCACCAGGAGGACCGTCAACTTTTAAAACAGCATTATCAGATATATCATTTGGTCGCTTAAACTGGGGCTTATCTGGAATACTTCCAGACAGAGATTGCAAACTTGTCACCACGTTAGTAAAGGTTTCATCCTCGTAAAATATCCCCCGACTTAAATGAGCTGCTTTAATTTTATTATAATCTTCATTCTTAAAACTCAGAGGTTGCATAACACAGTCGTCTAGTTGGTTTATTCAAAATTGTAAAATCATTTCCGACCTCAAATTTATAATTTCTGGAAGATCTAAACAAAGGTGTGTACACAGAATCAAAATGCGCAAACACTAGTAGTTTACAATAAATGCTTTAGTGCAAATATTGTTCATTTCTTTGCTGACATAAGCTTAGCTTCACTTAACTGAGTTTTTCTAGCGTAATGAAGAAATTGGAACCATTTGACACAGTTCGTTGCCTGTATTTTAGGGCCTCAGAAAATGCGCTATTCTGTCTGCTGTCATAACACTCATAAACGTAAAAGATAATTCTAGGGCCATTTTAGGCATCGGTTTTCCCACACATATAAATTAACTATTAACGCAGAATTTCGGAGGACAAAGTGCTGTTAGCGGATTTAGGTCAACAGAAATTTAACCAAAAGACATAATTGTAACCAGTGTATCCCTGTTACATGATAATTGTGTGCGCCAAAAATACTGTTGCAAAAAGGGCAAATATGATTTAGTCCTCTCCTAAAAGTTCCGCTAGTAATTGTACTGAAAACAAATAGACTCTTTAGTTCTATTCTAATTTTTTAACATTATGTGCCTGCTTTTTTTATTTATTTTTTCAGTCACATTATTTTCTAAGCTGATTTATCTGTTTATAATTTATATTAGTTCATGGTAATTATTATGAATTTCAGGTTTCTCTGAGTTACCAGGGCTCTATATTGGGAGGACCGGTGCGGCAAGTTTAACGAATCACTAAAGTCCACAGAAACCAACCAGATAACATTTACTCGCTTCGGATGTTCCCCCTACGCTTTAAATTTAATCAAGAGCTTCATCCATCTATACCTCTGGTTGACTGCTGATGTTACTCATGAGTCTTGCAAACTCATAAAGACATGTGATACTATGCTCCTAATGTGGTCGAATTTGGCTACAGCCAACTTACGGCCCCTCAGCTTCTTCGAGCTCTAGCTTGAAAACGATATAAGCAGCAGGTAAAGCTGAACTGACAATTTACATGCCAAAATAGTCCATTTACTGGTGTTTAATCGATTTCGCTACTCTGGCCTCGGTGTTAATGGCATAGGACCTTTTATCTATTCTTTCATCTATTTGGCTCCTGATTCTCATCGTCAGGCTTTTTAAACGCTCAAAGACAGACAATCGGCCTAACGTGGTGTGATACAAAATGGTCGCGCTTCATTTCAGCACTACTGTAAAATACCCGAACCCTAGAACGAAGAACACTGGTAATACAAACCAGTCTTCATTGACCAATCAAAAGCCAGAACCACACGTCAGACACCGTCCATCCAAGTCTGCCACGCTGGCCACGCCGCTCCGAAACGTTCCGATGTCAGGCAGATCTTCACAAAGCCTTCTAAGCTGGAATTGTCATGAAGACATTTGCTGCAAATTATTGTTACGTCTAATGCAAAGTATGTTAGGTCCTTTTCAAACCCACAAATGTTTATCTACATTTAGAATTTTACGCGAATTATGGGAAATTTCTTATTTTAATTTTATATATTTTCTTCTTTTTAATTCTACCTTTGTCAGTGATCTGATTGAGGAAATGTCTTTGCATTTTGCATCGGTGTTGCATTGTAGAATACCCGAGCTTTAGTATGAAAAAGACAGGAACAACAGAACGGACCTTATTGATCAATCACAAGGCGTCGTCCATCCGAGTCCGCCATGCTAGCCACGCCGCACATTATATACTGTTCCTCATTCGTGTCCTTCTCTGGTTGGCTGCTCCTTATCCTCGCATGCCATTGAAACGCAGAGAGACACAGGATTGGCTGAGGCCAGGTAGTCCAATATGTTTGCGCCCTGATCCGTCGCCACACTGCCTCCCCCTCAGGAGTGACGCTGTCCTCAGCTTCTGGCTTGGTCCACCGCACTGTTGTTGATTTCCAGTGTTGGTAAAATATCCAGTTCGACACTCCCCGCACCCCACATCTGGCTGGTTAGTGGCCCATGCGAATAGTTGACGAGAGACTTTGCTCTTGTAGACTTGCAGGAAAGACTCATCATCCATTGAGGTCCTTCGCAGATGCAGTCCAGCTGGCATTCACA